GGGATACAGAATCAAAACTTCGAGCTCACAAAACAAGGCTGTACTTATAGGCGGGACGCTGCAAAACCCAAAGACATCGCTCATACATCGATATCTCTAACGAATCGCCGTATTTTTGGATAAGTGAGCGTTTGAAAACGGTTGACGAGGCCGACGAGACAAGTCACGTCACGATTCTCATTCCCTCTCCTCCTCTCTTCGTCCCGTCGAGCTGATGAACCGAAGCGAGGAGAGGGAAGCGAAGCCGCTTCCCCTCATTCTCAACTGTTCCAGGAGGATCGTGACGTCATTCTTCTCACGTGATCGCGCCCTTCTTTTTTAAAAGCATGGCCATCCGTTGTATCAATGTGTCGTGATATCGATGTATCGTGATATCGATGTATGAGTGAGGTTTTGGAGTTCGCAGCGTCCCGTTCAACGCTTATGCAACCTTACTTTGCAAAATCCAAATTTCGGTCCTTTTAAAGAATTTTTCTTTTCTTTTTTTTTTTTTTTTTGGCGTTTATCGGTATGTCCTGAAGTTACGAAACCTTTATTCATGCTACGTGCAAAGTATATTTTTGCAAGGATCTGCTCTCAGAAAACAAGCACTTTTTTTTTTGAGTTTGAACCGCGCGTGCTTTAATAAAATAATACATAAATGGTCTTCACCGCATGACGAGAGAAGTTTGTTCACACGCCGTGCTGAGCAGAACTTCTTTTTACCGCAGTTGCTGAGTTAGAAACGAATATAGTTGTTATATTTTTAATAAAATGTTCATACTAGCCGAAGCTTCAGAGAAGGCACCTCTTGACAACACCGTCGCCGTCGATAGAAAATATTATTTTAGCGCCCTGAGCTTTCTGGGCAGCTTTAAAATTTTCAAAGGACTCTTCGATATACGTTTTGCATATTGGGCGTGGTGTCTGTCCTCTGGAGCAAACGCAGTTTCCACATTTGCAGTTTATAAGTCGGGGCTCAGGATATTAAAATGTGGTTTATTGAAAACAACTTCACTTTAAACAAGCCGAATTTAAACAAAAACAAATCGCTAAAGATTGCTGGGCGACGAAAGCATTACCTTAAAATAGTTGTGTATTTTTGTAGCATAAATATATTTCCCTCTGGAAATTTTTAAACAAGCGCATATATAAAATGTTTGAGCGGATACTATTGAAGTTTATTTGGTTTGAACTCTAAATTAGAAAAAATAGGTCCTGTTAGGGGGAACACGTTTTCTAGCTAATTGATCTTGTTTCAGAAAGTATTGCACGTTTACCAAATTGATGGAACCTAAAGAGCTCTAAACAGTTTGCTACATCAGTATGATACCAAGTGTCCGGTCTATTATTAGAACCTATAAACGGTTCAGAGCTTATGCGACATTTGGTCACACTCTTGATACTAGAGAGACCTCTTTCCTTCTCCGCGTGCCAATCAGGGTAGCTAAACTCGTGTAACAAAACATGCTTTGCTTTCTGACGCAGCGGGGGGAGTGACCAAAAAGATCGCCGCAAAGCTTCCTCCTCCCTGCGACGCGCACAACTTCGCAACTTTTCACCTTGGAGGGACGAAAACTCTCCCGCGATCGCTAGGCGGTGCAGGAGAGCACGAGACAGCGCGGGGAGGCGAGCGTTCACGCCGCTCGCTGTGCGTTGGTTGTCTTTGGGCTCTGTAGCGCCGTTGGGCCAAAATTCGATCCCTTCATGCATGCCTCGCTCAGACGAGGACCGAAAGCAGACGACGGGGGTTCGTCTGCTACGATGAGGCATTCGCACAGCGGAACCGAAAGAAAAACAAGATTTTCTGCTCGAAATCACGTCCCGCGTGCCACAAACTCAAACACGAGCTTGAATTGTAACCGTCTGATATTTCACAAAGAGAGGAATCGACGACCCGTGCTTTATTTGCAAAGTTTGAGCCGCTATGTTGCCGTACAGACGCCGAAATCCGGAGGCGTGCGGTTTAGAGAAGCTCGTTTTAGCTAACGCCGTTTTACCGACCCCAGGTTATCGATTCCCTTTGTAGAGAACCCAGTTTAGAGAAAATGGCGCTGGGCCTCCTTTTATCGAATTCGGCCGCCGCAAAGCGGCGTGTATTGAGTTAACATTTTTGTAATGAGCCACCGCAGACTGCCACCGCCAAGCGGCGGGAGCGCAGCGGGGGACCTGGGTTAACATGCGCACCAGTGATGCACGCGAGAAGTAGGAAAGCCTTTTTTTTTAAACCGTCCCCTTTTTTATATACAGCGTTTCTCTAAACTGAGGCTCTGCTTTCTCTAAACCGTGCTTCGATAAAACGTGCCAATTCTCTAAAACGTACTTCGGTGAAATGCCATTCGATCAACTGTAGTAAACCCGCTGAAATCTACCAGTGTGTAATGAAAGGCTCAGGACAAACACAGAGGCCGCGAGATCTCGCATCATCCGTGTGCGAGTGAAAAGTGGAACATTTGTCGACAAAGCTCCCACAGCAGAAACCTGTGACGCATTCACTCGGCGTACGGGATAGCTAAACATGGAGACGTCGCCCGACGCTTGAGCAAAATCATATTTGAACGTCAGCTACCTTGCCCCGTCGTATTTTGTTTGACGAAGCTCTCGTTCTCAACGCACTCACCAGGGAAATAAAAAAGTCTTACGAAGCGTACTGCTAGATATTCCAACGAACTAGATTTAAGCCGTATCCTTTCAGTGGTTTACTCAATGCCATGCTTAAAACGAAGCAAGCTGTTGCGCGTACAGTGTCATCAATTTTCTCTAGTGTATGCTGTTTTGTAGTCAGCTGGTTTCGGAAACTTACGCCGTCTGTAAATATCTGTGACCGCCAAACTGCTTAATTGGAAGTCATCGTAAATATAAGTTACACGTTACAGCAACCAACGTTTATAGATAAACGATGGCAGCGACTGCACTCTCTCATTCCGACCCATCACGTCGAACAAAAAGTCGCTATGTTTCGGGACGCGGATCGTGAATCGCGGATCGGGAGCCCGTCGTTGGCATCACCGGCATCCATTGCTTGACAACAGGCAATACACGCAAGTCTAGGGGAGAAACACGCAAAAGAAGGAAACTTGTAGGCGGTGCTCGAGGGCGAGTATTTTATGACGTGTTGCGATCATTATATCGGGTGCTTGGAAATCAAATAGACATGCGTCAAGCGTTCGAACGTTGATTTAAAAAAGTGGTCCGGACCACCACCGACTTTACCGACGTCGCTTGCTTCCATTGCTAAATAAATGACACGTTCAGTGACTGAGCGGCACGCTCCGAATTTCAGTTAGTCACGGCAGCCCTCCACAGCAGTTCAAGGAAAAAACTTCCACCAGAAGTACTATGTACAAGCGGTTAAAACGATGCGAATGTTTTAACCGCTTCTAAATTATCGTCTGCTGAGCTCTAATGACTCCGAGATTACGAATGACTCCACAATATCTCTTGGTAACCCTTGTCTCAATAAACACATCACAGTTAACGCCCAACAATGTCGCCCTTGCCCTCAACTACGCAACATTTCTTAAAAAAAAATTGGTTTTCTAACGCGTTTAATATTCTTTCCCACAGTATTAACTGTTATTCGCGAAAAACACGATAAACGTTTCATGGTTGAGAACGGCCTACTAACGTAATAAAATTGAGTTTTTCCGTTTCTCCTACAGCAAGCATTAGATCGTGTCAAGCGATAACTGCCGGTGGTGCCGCTCGACCCGAGCAATACAGGCCTCTATCCGTGATCCAGCCTACTAAGAGATCAGTGGTGCCAGTGCTATTAGCAAGAAGTAGTTTCTTTGCATCAAATTTTCGGGATGACAACGCAAACAGCGCCACACTGCCAAATCTCTAGCAAAAGCCGGTCGTCCGCAGCGTTGGCAGCTTCACTCGGAAGTCCCAAAGCGCCACCACGCGGGACAGGTTCGATGAGAGTTTCAGTGGTTTCAGTTTCGTTTTCGAGTTCGTCGCCTTGGTGGCGCAGGCATGTAAACTTTTTTCAGACAATATTTTTAGTGGAATTTGAGTGAAAAAAAAAAATGAAAGCCGTTTACAACTCCCTGTAACGCCGAATTAGAGCGCAGCTCTTGAGGAGGAGGAGGGAAGGGTACTGGGGGGGGGGGGGTCAAGTGACCTCGGGGGGCGGGGGGTCACGTGACTTTGGGGCGTCACGTGACGTCGGGGGGTCACGTGACGATACCGATGACGTCATCAGTAGCGTCACTGATGACGCCATCAGTGATGATGATGACGATGCGGATGCCGGTGACGTCATCAGTGACGTCACTGATGACGTCATCAGCGATGATGACGATGACGATGCGGATGCCGGTGACGTCATCAGTGACGTCACTGACGACGTCATCAGTGGCTATGACGTCAACGGGGGGTCACGTGACCTCGGGTGGTATCCCCAGGTCACGTGACCCCAGGGGGGGTCACTTGACCTGGGTAACATCGTGACCCTCGTGAGGGTAACCCTAGTAACCCTTGTGAGGGCAACTCTCGTGACCCTCGTGAGGGTAACTCTCATGACCCTCGTGAGGGTAACTCTCGTGACCCTCGTGAGGGTAACTCTCATAACCCTCGTGACCCTCGTGAGGGTAACCCTCGTGAAGGTTACCCTCACGAGGGTTACTAACCCTCATAACCCTCGTGAGGGTTACGAGGGTAAGTAACCCTCGTGAGGGTAACTCTCATAACCCTCGTGACCCTCGTGAGGGTAACCCTCGTGAAGGTTACCCTCACGAGGGTTACTAACCCTCGTAACACTCAAAAGGGTTACCTTCACGAGGGTTACCCTCACGAGGGTTACTAACCCTCGTAACCCTCGTGAGGGTTACAAGGGTAAGTAACCCTCGTGAGGGTAACCCTTGTGAAGGTAACCCTTCTGAGGGTAAAAACCCTCGTAACCCAGTGGCTCGGGCGAAGCCCTCTTTGGCAGCGGCCTTGCTTTCCGCATGGAAGTTAATCCAACGGCTGCCGAGACACTGGGCGATGGCAGCCGCAACAACTCTTTCAGCCCGGCTCACAGTCAACTGGGAGACTGACAGGTGCTCGTCAGTCGCCACCATTCCTTCAAAGCTACCGGTTTCGAAGAACCGAAGCGCGCAGAGAACTTGCTGTTCCACGGTCATGGTGGACGTGATTGTCCGCCACCTCCGGAGTCCGCGCGCCGAACGAAGCCCTTCGCAGAGCCAACGCACAACGGCCGATGATGTGGCAATTTGGTGTGTCGGTCCATCCAGACTGTCAAGGACCATCGGCAAAAGGCTTCAGAAAGTTCTTGACATCATGACTTCTACTCTAGAAGAACTAGGACTTACTTTATCTACAAGCAAAACAGCCTTCCTCTGTTACCGCCCTGGTCGACATCCAAACCGCAAAGTTGCAAATACGCCAGCCATCAAAGTAATACCGATCCAGAGAGTCTCAACGTACCGATACCTGGGGATGGAAATAGATGACCACGTTACATGGAGACCCGAGATAAAACGACTTGTAACGCAGTGCACTAAATTATTAACTGTGCTCCGTCACTTCCATCGCCAGAAATCTGGACTGCCTCCTCAGGGGCTTCTGATTCTCTATCGTGGCCTTATCCTCTCAAGAATGTTATACAGCCTACCTCTCATCACAATCAGGGCTCATCAAAGTACCACACTCGAACGTTTTCACCGTGTTGCCCTCCGTCAGTGCCTTGGACTGCCACGCTTCGCGGGCAATACGGCGACACTCGTAGAGGCCAAGGATCAAACAGTAGCTATGCACATAAGAATAAGAGCAATGAATCATATCACTCGTATGTATGGAGCACGATCTGCGACATCACTGCTGTCCAACATTGAAGAGCGTTTTGATTCACAGATAGGTCGATGTGTACAAGAATTTAATTTACAAATTGGACCTCCTAATAGCCATTACTTTCCTCCGGCACCTTTCATAACCCAACCGCCGTGCATTGTAGAAGAAACGCTTCCTTATTTCCCGAAGAAGAATTTTATCGCAGCCACTGTCGGAAGGTCGCTTGCAGCTAACCAACTGACAAGCACGTACAATGGTTGGCTCCAAGTGTTTACTGACGGGTCAACGAATCCCACAACTGCAACATCTACAGCGGCATTCGTCATTCCCGATGCCGGAATCGAAGCATCACACCGCCTCAACTTCGCAACCACGTCAATGACAGCGGAGCTGGCTGCACTAGCAGCGGCATTAGATGCGCTTCACAACCTCAATCCTTGTAAGACTGTTATTCTCTCCGACTCTCGAAGTGCGTTATCCAATTTGGAAGCTTCAGACCAAGTTCCTTTTCTGGCCCACTGTGTGGCCGACAAGGCCAGAAAACTTTGCATGCGAGGGTGGCAGTTGGCTTTTCAATGGATTCCGTCACCTATGGGTATCCCCGGCAACGAACGCGCCGATGCCCTTGCTTCAAAGGCACACAAGGAAGAAGAGCCCAGTCTTTTCATCCCACGATATTGTGAAGAGCGCACACTGTGCAAATTAATTACCACAATGCGTCACCCCCCTACAGAAGTTGCAAGCGGGAATCCTCCTCCATCGCTCCCCGAGTCAAAACTAACCAGATCAGATTCCACGCTACTCCATCGCCTTCGTTTAAACTGCGCCTACACATCAACGACACTTCACAAGATCTCCAGGTCTAGTACACCCAACTGTGCCAAATGCAATGTCCCAGAGGACCTTGACCACGTCCTTTTAAATTGTTCTCACTACGATCAAGCTCGACGTTCTTTTTTTACCACCATCCTAAGTGCCAGCACAACTGTGACTCAAAAGAACGAAATCCTTTTTCCTACCGGAGGTGGACGAAGAAGAGAACTTGTTTATAAATCTCTTCTTGTGTACCTCAAAGCCACTGGACTCGCAACGCGCCTCTAGCCCACCGGCCTGACACCTAGACCAGCCACGCATTCTCGTCTCAACTGACATTGACTAATTTGTGATCTCCATACCAGAAGACAGTTCTGCAGTGTCCCCTCTACCTCAAGAAAATAGCCTCCTGATTCGACCCTACTCATCCAGAGATTGGTGACCAAATCACCCCCCAACCTCTCTTCTCTTCTTTTCTCACCCTCTTTCCCCGCCTGTGCGAGTCTTGCCCCTGCCCAAGGAGGCTAACATTACGTGCAGGCATCCCCTCTTCCCGTGTGTAACAACACTCAACAACAACAACGGGGAGCTGAAAGGCGTCCCCGCGTCCCGGTGATCTCAGTAGCAACGCCGACGGTGGCGTAAGATAAGCTCCGCCGCAGCGTACAGCACCGCCATGACAAAGTTTAACTTTGCCTCGATCCGAAGCGAAGATTTCGGGCTCAAACCAGGTCTCTCGCAAGGTTCTGAAATGTTACGTTGACGTCAGCGACAACTTCGACTGACTAGATTTCGAATTACTTTTTTTTTACAAAAACTTTGGAGGGATTTGAAGCTATAAGAGGTCGTCTAGGGGACAATCTACAAAGCATTAAGCTTAGCTTGGCGTAGGGATGTAGGGACAAACGGGCGATACGTCATCGGCGCAGCCGTGCAATCAGCGCGCTCCTCGCGCGCTCCGCGGCCGTCTCGATAACTTTGCTACATTCTGCCGATCTCGAAGAAATGAGCGTTCTAATGATTGACACCTCGCTCGGTGCGACGTCAGCGTCGAGAGAGTTCAATTGGGGCGTTCCGCAAACTTCGGGCCCAACTTTGTGTTCGACGAGTTTAGCGACCCTGAACGGAAGAGAGATATTCCGTCTGCCGACGTCATACCCATTGAAAGTCCAAAATGACCCCCCCCCCCCCCCCCCAATGTTTGTTCCTGCAGTCTCACTGTCAGCGGATATGCTAATCAACAAAGTATACACGGATCGTTCAATCTCTTTCGACAAGTGGTACCTGCACTACAAAATGCCTTCCACGAAGAGCTTTGGAGTAAAATTGACGCTGAACTGGCCCTGAGTAGTACGTACACAGATGTAGCCTACCGTTTCGCAAATGGAAGAATGTCGTGAATTTACCTTTTTCAATTAGAGTTCTGTCCACGCGCAAGCCCTCCCCAGGCAGTGGTGAAAGCTCCAATTAAGACTGGTTTAAGGAGTTGCGTCGCCTCCCCTGCCTCCTCCGCGAATCGTATGTTTCCATTATGCTTGTGATGAGCTGCCCGTCACTGCAGTGTGACGTCACTTCGCGCAACGAAGTCCTCTCGATAAGAATGAATTGTGACTTGCGAGGCAACGTGGTGCTTATTTAGCAACCATCCTTCCTCTATTATCCTTCAAAAGGGCATTGCCAGGCTCAATTTTTGTTTCCCTTATGTTAGCTTCGTAAGTGAGCACCTTTTACAACCCTAGTAATGTGAATGACAGCCTTTAGGACCTGTTTAAAGAATTGCAACTTCCTAGAACCAGTCAGGCTAAAAACCGGTTTTTAGCCTTTTGTGACGGCCTACGACCGTCTCCGCGGATGCACAGCCGGTCGGAAGCAGTCACAAAAGGCTTCTGTCACGAGAAACTAAAACCCGGTTTTAGTAATCTTGTGGCTGCTTATGACCGCAGCGCGGACGGCTGTAAGCAGTCAGAAGATGATTCATAACAGGTTATTCGACTCTCCGGTCTTAAGCAGTCGGGAGCGTCTGAACCAGCCTTAAGCCTTTCCGGTCGTAAACGGTCGAAAGAGGGTGTGATCCAGCTTGAACAGTGACTCGCACAATAAAACGTCTTGCTAACCGTTTTTTTTTTCTTCAACGTTTTTTTCAAACGCAGACGCCGCGCATGCACGCCGCTACCGTCGTCTCCAGAGTGCCGGGTTTTGTAGCGTGTTGCGGAGAGTTTTATGGGGCGGTGAAAGTAAGCCAAAAGTTCCCTGTACACCAATTTTCAAGGTGAAAAACAACAAACGAGATGGGGGGCTTACTTTTGCCATATCCAATTCCGGTTGCTGGTTCGTTTGTGTGTTTTCCGTTGGGGCTCGCGCCCTTACGAGCGCGTATTATCGCCGTCTGCCGGTGAATGATCGAGCTCGTTAGGGATAAAACGATCGATACGTTCGACCCAACATATGCCATTGTATTAAGTGACCTGGCCCGAGACGGTTTGATTATACGTTATGCGGAGCTTTTCCCTTCTACGTCAAGGTACGACCGCAAGTAAAGACCAATTCACGCATTAGTGCTTGACTGCGGCATGACGACTTAAGACCACGAGCTGCTGGGACATGTGTTTTCTGTTAGCCGTCTGCAGGCCCACCAGGCTTCCTGACCAAACAGGGCGTTCCGGTAGCAGGCGGTCGTGACTCAACTTAAGTAATCAAAACGTAGTCGGACGCTACTTATATATGTAAATGGGCCTTTGTGCTTACTTCGTGTAAAACACAGTGGCACGGCAATCAATCCAGTGATGAGCTTGACAGGTGGCATACGAAGCACAAGTGCAGTAATTCACAGTCATATCCCGAGGTCGAACACGGCAGTGCTAATTTCGGTGTTCCAGCCGAAAAATGCGCTGAACGTGTCCTTTCCGGACACTATATATGTGCTACAGGTTACGTCACTTTTAAATAGTGTATTTTTCTCAGAATTTACAATCGGCTATCATTACAAAGCGCATATATTCCGGGGTTGTTAGCTCCAATTAAAAAATAAGTAAAGATACTACTAGGCTGTTCTTTGTTGATAACTTCATGTTAATTAAACACATTCATATGCTAATAAAACATGTTAGACTGGCAGACTTAGTGTCAAATTTCGTCGGTGAATGTCTTATTGACACACGTTTCATAGTTTATGTCCGGCGATGTCTCATCAACACGGCCGAGTTTTGACAAGATACCATCGATCGCCATCAGGTGCGACGGGCATGACAGCGATTTTTATCACGCGAAAGACAAAAGAAAATCGCTCGTACGAGTTGGTTCACAGTTGTTCGCAATCGCAAAGTCGGTCGGTAAGCACGATACCGGGCATTTCGGCGGAGTTTACCCAACACTCAAAACAATAGACATTTTGCTAAATCAACCAATCAGCAAGCCACGTGCGCGAGTGTAGTTAGATGCGCTGCTTGTGTTCCCTTCTGCAGAAGTAACTGTCCACAAGCAAAAACCAGAACAAATCGCGCTTGGCACGCGTGACCATCATTGCTTTATTTTGGTTATTTACTTCGAATCTTATGTACAGACATATATACACATAAGGCGAGAGCAAGCACCACGTGTACCTACGTTCCCAACATAATTCTTGATGGATGCCTGGATAATTTGGCAAAACCTCTCTTTGACACAGGGCAAAAATCCCACAAACAACAGCACGTTCATTCCGAAACCGTAAAGCGTTTTGGCAACGAGGCGCCCGGATGAAAGAAAACCGGAAATCACTAAAAAAGGGTATGTAGTGAATAGTGACATGACGTCACTATTCATTGCGTGGACACCAAGAAATCTGTAAAGTCACGCTCTAGCGTCCGTGCATCTAATAGAACTGACGCCAACGTATTAGGGAGAGTACGGTGCGCACAATGCACGATATGTGGCTCCTAAAACTCGCACTCAAAAACACTTCATTGCCTTCTATGAGAAAACATTTAGCTAAAAGTGGTGAATACAGGAGTAAGTATAATGTACAACTTAATATTAATATTAATACCGGCTCTTCTCGTGATAGCATTTGGAAATCGGTTAAAAAGAAAGAATAAATTATACCTTAAAAGTTTACTTTTCTGAACGGCCGACGACCAGACTCGAGATTCTGCAAGGCAAAAGATCCTTCTCATCATGGGGGAGGAGGAAGCAGGCAACGGTGGACAGGGTAAAATGGGGAGAGGAGGTAGCGAGGGAAAAGTGGAAAGCGCGAACTGGTCGTCGGCCTTTAAGGCGATTTTTGCTCATGCGCAGAATTTCCTCACACAGCGTCGAAGGCCTGAAATACAACTGGCGTCCAGAAGGGAAGCTGGGCTACCTCTCGTGACTCCTCTGCGACTTAGATGAGTCGCAGAGGAGGCAGGAAACGTAGCGCAGCTCTTCTGGCCGCCAATCGCACTTAGACATTTCTCCGTCTGGTGACGTCTTCATGTGAAAGAAGTCCGTTACATCGTGAAGGCGATCTTACCTCTTAATTAGAAGGTACTATCTCAACGTGGTAATGAAACAATTTAGTCCCTCTACAGGGTGAGAGTGTAATACGACCACGTGCTCTTTTTGTCAACGGTAAGGCAAGAAGTGATTCTCAAATGTCCACACTGCAGGAGCAGACTGGGCGACCCTGATTAGAAAAGCTCCAAGTAGAAAACACCAAGACTGTGTGCTGCTAACTTTGACAACCGTTTCAACCACGAGTTTTCTAATGATAAGTTTGGCTGGTAGAAATCTAGCAAGCGCCTGCTAGGCACAATACAATTGGCTCTAGAGTGGATGGGTGCTGGTGGCGAGCCTTCAGGGTGGTTCCGCGACGTGCGATTTGCATCGCTTGTAATCTTACTCTTTGCATACGATTGGTATACGATCTCCCTGTGAGCATGAGAGAGAGAGAGAGAGAGAAAACCTTTATTTTCGCTCCAAGTCCGGAGCTCTGTGAGCATGACCTTTGAGCAATAACCATCTCAGCTTCGGCGACCGAAACCGATGCCATACAAAATCATGAGATCGTCATGCTCCATTCGTTAGAGTGTGCCTTGGCTGCACTAAATTTGGTGCAACTGAAGGCATCGTTCTACGGCATTGTCACAACGTACTGGCGTGCGTTGGTGAATCACTGGTATCACTGCTGCGTGATGCACGTTAAAGTGGCCATGCAATGACATTGGGTAGGAATGTTTCTCACATTACATAGACTTGCTGATCACTTTTTTGTCACCTCGTATTTTCGAGTAGGAAAGCGGAAGTTTTCGTTCAGTCTCTCCTTCATAAAACTTGATGTCGAAGTTATGGGGATTGCACTGTTATCGTTGTCCATAATGCGATCCCCTGGACTTCGACATTTAGCTTTGCAATTCCCGCGGTGACTATACTTAAACGCAGCTCATAAGTCATAACTGCGTACGCGAAAACTGCGAAAGCATTCAATTTGGGCTCGTGGCAATCAATGCCTCTACATTCGTTCAGGTAGTGACTCTGGCCAAATCGCTACGATGACCGGAATTGCCGAACTTCAACAATGTGTGGAACTCAGCACGCGTCCCGTGTATTGCCAACCCCAGCGTGTGGCTATGATAAACATTGGCGGCTTACAATAGGCTCTAGATCACGTGGCCGCTTGTTCTGGGTGGGAGTAAAGTAGATAAAATCTGCTCGATTTTCTCGAATTTTATTTATCGACCGTTATTCCGCGGAGGAAAAATATAACGCTTGTTTTATAGGTTATTGTTGTCACGAAAAAAATCCTAAGCGATATTTATGAGAAGCGCAAGAATGGTTGAAAATTGGCCCTTTAAAGATCCCAATCTAGCAGTGATACTGCACCTGCAAAATTTATCACTTACGGCAGAAGTACCAGACGTCCATTGGGGCCGACTACTTGTAGGTGGGATGCTCGTGCGCGTGCGGAGTTTTACTAGACCTTTTTTGAAAGTTCTTCGAGCAACATTGGTAGACACCATTGCTTGGGCACGATGTTTGTGATTGGACCCGAGTCCCTGCCGAATGCAGACGCAGCATTCTTTCCCGATACGAGCTGAGCGCAGTTCACGCCGAACCCAGAGCCACTACTCTAGCTACGCTTAGGTTATCGGCACTCTGTTCCCCGATATTGTTGTGGGCGCCGCCATCTTGCTGCTTAGCACAGAGCAGACGCAACTGCCGATCGTCATGATTCAAAGGTGCAGTTTCATCAGCATGAGATTCTGTGTCAGGATGCTCCTGTCGCATTGCTTAGTCCTGTCGCAAACTTTACAAACTTTTTTGGAGGACGGAAAAGCGTTTCCTGTGACTTCAGAGACAGTTTCAGATAACTGGCAACCACAATTTTTTGCATCAAGATGGGTAAGTGTCGTTACTCTGAGGCGTAGCTTATTTAGTTACTCTAGCCCAGGGGTCTCCAAACTGCGGCCCGCGGGCCAAATCCGGCCCGCGGATCAAATTTGGCGCGCGGAGGTCATCCGACCGGCTCGTGACTGACCGCAGTTCTTTTAATGAAGTCCGGTGAATAATATCACGAGAAGGCACGCCTTACTAAACAATTTTCCTAAGGTTATTATTATTTTTTTTTAATGTTGCGGCGTCATTTTTTGATGTGCGCTTTTGCGTCAACATTAACGGGCCCGCTACCAGCAAGCCTGCTGCTACCGGCGCCAAAGCGCGAGGAAAAAAATGGCGCCAAAGCGCGAGAAAAAAAAAAAATTTACTCGGAAAACTGTTTAGTAAGGCGTGCCTTCTTGTGGTATTATTTATTGGACATCGCTATCACCAGCTCCACCGTTCTTCCGCTTCATATCTGTGTAACTACGTGTGGTCAAATTCCGTTGCGTTCCCTACACGGTGTCACAAAAAAAAAAAAAAAATTATAGGGTTTTTTTTACCGCAAAAGTAAACTACGCGTCGCCGAACGCTCATTCTCCGACCAAAGGTAGCACTAGCAGTCATAATCAGATGCCAAAGTTTCAGCCCTATCCGATAACTTAATCAAAAGTTATACGTGATTTTCTGTAAATTTCAATGGGAAAATGGAGCCCATCTTTTGCCCGTTTTCGGTTTCTGGTGCCATAGAGCCCAATGTATTCGAAAACTCCGTCAGCCGCGATTTTCCCATTGAAATTTTCAGAAAATTACTTATAACTTTTGATTAAGTTATCGGATTGGGATGAAACTTTGGCATCTGGTTGTGACCTCTAGCTCTACCTTTGGACGGAGAATGAGCGTTCGGCGAGGCCTAGTTTATTTTTGCGGTAAAAAGAATGTGTAACTTTTCTTTTGTGACACCCTGTATAATGCGCTTAGAGTTCTTTGTCTTATCTATTGCATAATGTCAGCAACAGTTTTGTTTTCATTCTCACAAGTCTTCTGCCCTGCGGCAACATGTCAAAGTTTTTATAAGCTTTGATACAGGGTTGGGCAGTATCGCGATACAAATGTATCGCGATAGTATTTTAGGAATACATTTCATATCTGTATTTCTATATCGCGATACATTTTTTCACCAGCATCTGTATTTCTGTATCGAAATACATTTTGAATGTTCCTTTGTATCGCGATACAATCAAGGTGAAATGTATTTCGTTACATTTCTTGAGGAATACTCCCCCCCACCCCACCCCCCCCCCCCCCCCCCCCCAAAAAAAAAAAAAAATCCAAACGCCTTTTTGTTTTTACTTTTGAGGGCTCCAGGGTCAAGGAGATGCTGGGGCATTGTTACCATGCTGACCAAGGTTCTTTCCGATTCTTTAAACTATTTTTCTGTGCGCCCTCTTCTCTCTTCTGAGAACTTTTGTGCGGTCGGGGACTCAAACCAGGTGGCGAGCCAGGTGTGGAGTCAGAGCATCTTGTGCCGCAGGTCCTTAGGTAGGGGTTTCTTGAGTCATTGTTTGCGGGCATCCAAAGCCCGCTGCTAACCGTCCCGCTTGCCTTAGCGTACACAGTACACCCATTCGGCAAAGCTGAGTCACAGTCCTTTGCAGCGCGAGCCTGACGGTGGTTAGCTTGAAATAGTAGGATAACTCGAGCAGTGAAGTTCAACAGATATTCGAATGCGTCTGCGGCTGCGCTCGTAATATTGCACGGCTCAAGGGTACGTCATCAGCCGACGTGAAAGTGACCCGCTGCTCTGGTGGTCCGAAACCCAGGAAGGAGGTCAGACGTGGCCTCGCTGTGCCGACCCAGACTTCGTACACCTGTGACACGTCTCGAGCGCGCAATATAAGGTCGCAATCCGCGAGGTCTCTATTTGGAGTATGCAAGGCGAAACTTGATGACTGCAATCCATGCGTCGGTGGCGGAGGGTCAGCAGGAAGGACCTTCACAACAGGGATATCACCGTATCGTTTTTTCAACCGTGACAGAAGATAATACATCTGTTCCAGGATGCTTCAGGTGGTCCACCACTCTCGAAAATCCTGCACGATCTTCAACGAGGTAACCTACAACAAAAGTATGTATTGTCCTTTCATACGGCATCGTATTAAAGTTTCATGTTCAAGGCCACACCTACAGATAAAGAATACCAGTTCATTCCACCGTGACGTCATGTGATAAATGTTGACAGGGGCGTCCTTATTCGACAGGGGCGTGGTGACGTTTTGATGGGATTTAGGATGACAGAGAATTTTTTAGAGGTCAAAGTCTTTTCGCATCCCTCGTCAGACAGACAGGATGTCAGGGAAGGGACCACGGTCAGTCCTTGAGGGAACTTTTTTCTGAACCCATTGAAGACTCCTCGTCGTCCGAAATCACTACCCTCAAGGCGAAGTGCCAAGCCTACGGGAAAGTAATTTCAGGATCAAAAGCTTCCACTTCCAACTCCAAGCTCCATCTAATTTTGTCTCAAATAAATTTGAAAAAGTGTATTGCAGTATCAGTATTTCTATATTTGTATTTCTGCCCTCCCTAAAATGTATTCCTGTATTTGTATTTCCAAATACTTTTTGCCTCTATTTAAAATGTATTTCCAATACGTATCGCGATACACTTTGACAGATATATTTCAGTATCAGTATTTTAGCTACTATTTTAAAGTATCCCAGTATTTGTATTTCCAAATACATTTATGAGTATTTCTGCCCAACCCTGCTTTGATATATGCCTGGTGGGTTTTTTGGGGTACCAATTATTGCGTGTTTTAAAAAAAAATAAAGTATATGTATTCATCCACCGTTGATTATTTTTTTACTATAACTTTTATTTGTTTTATATGCTTATACAAGATAATCCACTTCGTTTTTCCTCATTTATAATCACTTATTTATTTACCGGCCCTCGAGACAGCGAAAGATCTCCGATCCGGCCCCTTAGCAAAAAGGTTTGGAGACCCCTGCTCTAGCCGAACCCTATAGCTAGGGTTCCGTGTTTTCGAATAAATCCGAGAAAGGAAAAAACAACACTCGCCGGTAAAGTTTCCGTCAATTTGGAGTTATCCCCAAAACTCCGAATTTCGAGGTCACAGCGACAAAATGAGCAGCAAAAAAGACGGAGTCTTACGTGAAAAGTTTATAAGAGCACAAAGTCAGTAGTCCTGAGGAGATTCCACTTCACTTTCCTTTGAAACCTAGAACTACTAAAAAAAAATGAAAGACGTTAACAATCCCCTGTAAATTAGAGCGCAGCTCTTGAGGAGGAGGAGCGGAAGGTATGGAGAGGAGGCTATGTTCCTGCTCCTTTCCTGCTCTCCTCCCATTTATGAAAAAAATTCCCCGCTAAATTTAACTGAAAACATTTCCCGCTAAATTTAACGGAAACATTTTCCCGCTAAATTTAGCGGAAAAAATTCCCCATTAAATTTAGCGAAAAATTTTCCCCTCGGTTTGGCCGACGCCGTTTAAGGCGGAAACGGGCGCCTAAGAGCTGCGCTCTAAAAAAGGGGGTTTGGTTTTAGCATGTCGAGGTTCCTACGAGACAACGGGTCATGATACCCGGACCTTATTTATTTTTATTTCACTTTTTTTTTAATTTTAGGCAGTAAAAAAAAAATTGTAGTTAAAAGATTTTGAAATCTAACAAAATTAGCTCCCATAAACCTCGAACCCCCAGAGAAAAATGAACTCCGAAAAGCATCCTCCGAATTTCACGATAAACAAAGTCCGAAAGCACGGAATCCTACCTGTAGCGCAGCTCTCGTGTCTGATACACGCTCAGAACTGCATGGTG